TCTAGTTCCATCCATCTGGCTGCAAATTTCAAGATTCCATTGTTTTCTCCACCAACCCCCCCCCCCTTGCTGAGTAGCTCCATTGAGTAAATGCACCACATTTTCTCCATCCATTCCTCAGTTGATGGGCATCAAGGTTGTTTCCAGTTTCTGGATATTACAAATAATGTTATGAACATCGTTGAATAGATGTCCTCAATTAAATGTTTTCCTTCATAAGAGTTGCTGTGGTCATTGGTGTCTCTCCACAGCAATAGGAATTTTAAATAATATAGTACTCATAGTCGAGTATTCTCAGCAAGTGAAAGCATGAATTTTGAAGTACAGACCTACCTTGTCTTGGCAAAGTTCAGCAGTTGCCTTCTTTTGTATCCTGCTTTTCCAGTTTGGACAGCAATCTGTTAGCAGTGGAGGCAAGGGCATTTTCTTTGCTCAGTGGCTAACTTTGCTACAATAAAAGCAATTTACATATGGAGGTTGTTTTATGTCTGTCATCCTCTTTTGAAGTAAATTGGTGCTGCTACATGTGTCATTGTTATGAAAAGCCCTACGTTATTAAAGCATTTTACATGCCATGTTTTGTAGGTCTTTAAGTGTTTGAAGACTGTCTATGTAAAATATATCTCTGACATTGAAATCATACTTTATATGCCTATAAGTTTGATTGTTATAGGTGACTATCAACCTGTATTTCTTTATTACAATAAATAGCTTTCAAAGACTAAAACTTTATATTACATTTTAATATGAGCTGCATAGGAACAATACCTTAAACTTAAGTAGAAACATATATACATTATAACAGAAATAACCTTAAGTTTGTATCAATATACAAAAATCCATACCAATGTAAAATATTTGAGACTAGTGATTGTTCAAAAGTAGATATCGTTTATCTCATTTCTATATTTCCCCTTTTTCCTCCAGAAAGAGATCCCCGAATCTAATCTCCTTTGTTTAGTTTCCTCCCTGACCATGACCAATAACAAATTGTAATCAACCCCCCCTAAATGATGACAAACATCCGTAACCCAAAAATGCCCCCAAACCACCCACCCCACTTCTTCGGAATGCTGCCGCCATGTTTGCTAGACTGCTTCCTGTTGTCTGGGGGGTGACAGCATCTTTAGGGTAAACTGAAAAAACGGATAATGGTAAAGTCCAGAGAATGCCAGCTGCATTATTTTTTGTTTTATCTCTGTGTAATGGGAAAGTGTAGAGTTTATATGAAATCTTGACTGGATAGTCTGTGAGGCTAGGACATATCAGCTATCAAGTTTAAAGTTGTTCTCGATGCAGAATTTTGAGGAAACTGAAACAGAGGCATTCTAAGGGGTTGGAAAATCTGGGCTACTTGTCTATAGTGGTATTTCATCCTTTGTTTTGAAAACACATACACTTTTAAAGGTAACACATGTATCTGCATTAACATAAGTATAGAATTGCAGTGTGCACATGTCAGTTAAAATATTTTTTGTTTTATGTTTGAAAAGATTAAAGGCATCTATTAACTTTATAAGTTTGTGTAGACTGTATAACCAAACCTCTATTCATGCCATATAAAAGGATGCCATGTAATATTAAGTCATGAGGACTTTGTAGACAATAAGATTTACCATGTTTCATCCAGTCTCTGGGCTGTTCTCTGTGGTGATACGTTGTTTATGACTTATTAAAGCTTGCCTGAGAATACAGAAAACAATGCTAGCCATAAGACAAAGAGCCAGGAAATGTTGATCCACACCTTTAATCCCAATAGCCATACTAGTGAGTCATAGAACCCAGGCAGTGGTGGTATACACCTTTAATCCCAGGACTCAGGAGACAGAAATAGACAGATCTCTGTTAGTTCAAGGCCACACTGAGCTACATAAAATTGATCCACACAAAGGTGATCTCAGCACTTGGGATGACCCATCTTTAATCCCAGTGCTAGGGAAGTATAAAACGAAAACCAAAGGAGATCTCAGCACTTGGGATGACCCATCTTTAATCCCAGTGCTAGGGAAGTATAAAACTAACCCCAAAGGCCCTCATGTGAAGATTTATTCACCTGCCATGGTGAGGAGAAGACACTCTTTTCAGCCCGACGTATACATCAGAGCTGGTGGTCAGCTTCTTTGCTTCCCTGATCTTGAAGTTTGAACCCCAATATTTGTGTATGGGTTTTATTGTTCATGCTACAATTTCCAAGCAGATGGAGCAGCATATATATCACCTGTCCTGTAATCTTAATTGGTTTCTTTCTTCATGTCTGTAGCCAGGTTTTGAGATCTCCACCTATCAAATTTTATCTTCATTTAATTGAAGATAATCATAACTTTTTATTTCTTGTGGAAACAAAGGCATATCCTCTCCCCAATGCAGCACATTTCCTGGCTTCCATTCTAAAGCCAAGTCACCCCTAAAGCATATAGATAGTCTGGTTTAATTGAGCAGTCCCTTCCATAATCCAATGTCTTTCAGCAACTACCATTTAATCAACAACATTCTAAAATACAAACTCAACGAAACAACTCACAGGACCCATATATTCTATGTATTTCCCATCTTTATGTGGCTTTTTCCTACTATATTACTTTACTCTTTCTTAAAAACTATTATTTTTAAACAATTTCTTATGACTCTCTATACCCATTTTATACTGTAGCTGTCTAAAAGTTTTCTTGGTCTGGACCACTTCATGGAGTTCCTGTACCCTTTCTAAACAACACATGAGCAAAATCTTAGACTGTCATGTTGGCCACTATGTGGCTTACCTTACTGCATGGCAATGGTGCATGGTGCTGGAAGCTGGCTCAAGCACTCAATAGCCATGCCTCTGTATGCCAAGCATAGACCTGCCTGAGAGATTGCAGGACTGGGAAGCCATATTCAGTGCCTTGTCCAGAGTTTCTTACCTTTATCAGGCCCTATGATTGGATATTAAAGTGTCCACATTGGACACCTAACAAGTTCTTAGATCTTAAATTAACCCATATTTTAAAATCTGTGTTCCATCATGTGACCCAATACCTCATCTTTCCATATTTCCCATTCTGCCTCCTCTGTGCTGACTGGAAACTCTTTCTCTCATGCCTAGATCACAGGAATATATCTTCATACAGTGTACAAATATCCCACAACAGAGTCTCATAGTATAGCCTGGCTGACTTCACAGGGTCACACTGTGCAGCCACTCTGACCTCACAGGGTTACACTGTGCAGGCTGGGTTGACCTTACATTTGCATTGATTCTTCTGCCCGAGTCTCATGAATGCTGGGATCACAGACATGATTCATCACACATGCATTGATTTGTATATTTTTGTTTTCATTTAATCTTTCTTGTTCCCCCTCTCCTCTTCTCTTTAGACACAGATCATCCTCTACATTGTATTCATCACATTGTATTATGTTAATACAACTGTGTGTTATATGTATCAGTTAAATATTTTAAGATATATTAAAAAGATGTACATTCTAGGTTGTATTTTTACATTGCAGTATTCCTTTATTTTGCTCCGCAGAACTTTTGTTCCATTCTTATAGTTCTTACACCTAAAATCATTGCTATTAAATACAGAATCTAGTTCTGCCTTTTATACTTTGTTTTTCATAGGTTGAAGAAAGTGATGTAATTTACTTACTGTCTATCTCGTCTCTGATAATACTGTTATATCATGACAATATCAGAGTTTACCTATGAAAACAGCTGGTGTTTTGTTAACTACATGTGGAAATCAATAATAAAATTTCTTAGACCTATTGAACAAAAAGGCACAATTCAAAATTCTATGAGTTGTTATGCATAACATAAATAAATGTATGTACAGGGAAGTTGTTATGTATTTCACTGGATAGGAGATGACATCATGATTCAAGAAACAAGATAAAGGGCAAGGAGAAGCCTATGGGGGAACAAAAACATTCAAAGTGTACAAATCCCTCTTGAAGTTTACAAAGAGGTTCAAGTGGAGATGATCACCAGGCAGTGAGAAGCACTAGAGGAAGGATTGTATTCACCTGGAAATGGATGTTAGGGGAAGATCAGCAGATTATAAACAACTGGATTTCTGCGTCATCTATCAAAAGCAACTGAGGAAATCAAGGCAACAAGGTTATTTCATGCCATAGTGAGGCAAAGTATATAAAAATAAAGAAAAATTCCCTTTTGTAAAGTAATGAGACAAAAGAGTTGAATTGGCCTATAATTTAATGCATGCTCAACCATTGCCCCTCCATGTGAGATGGGATGTCACTGAATTTCACAATATTCAGTCTGTGAAGCAAACACTTCCCTACCTCCTTGAGACTGTCACCAGGTTAAAATAAAGCCACCCCCTATAAACAGAAACTTTACAAAGTCAAACAGAAAACATATATGAAGCTTCCAGCTTTCAATTTTCTTTCCCTCATCTTAGAAAAGGAATGGCTCCTTGTTATTAGTCAACTTAAGAGCAAACTGCATGAATGACATTGTTGTACAAAATGATTGCCCCTAATATGTTCAGGGTCAAGAGTAGTCAGGAAAGATAACAAAGACATGAAAATAATAAGAGGGAATTAAGAGAAAAATGATGTTGAAAATCACTGTGAGAGAACCTGTAGCAAATATTAGAAGTAGGGTGGGTGTGGGGGAGATTTCATTGTTAGCAAAAGTCATAAATTCTTTACAGAAACCACTTTAGTTGATCAATCAGTAAAAACAGAATTCAGGGTAAATGATAAAATGTTGCAGCAACTTAAAAATGCAAGGAACAGTGATCATATTAGACAGAATCTTTTCCACAATGCTTTTCCAGGATAATTTATCGAAGGCAAGGAGGAAGATATAGCCAGATATCAAAGACAATCTTTCCTACTTTGACTACTCCACCACAAATCGTCTCTTTCAGGTATTGAAGTTATGTAGCATGCCCTTTCCTGTAGGCTCTATGATGAGAGACAACATCTGATGTAAAATATTAACATTATTACATTTATTACATAAAATTATGTAAAAATTCCAAGTGTTACCATTACAAAGAAATTTTCTTATTGAAGATAACTCTTATCAGGGCTCCCTTTATGTCTCTGTTCCTCAGGCTGTAGATGAAGGGGTTCAGCATGGGAGTCACCACTGTGTACATCATAGCCATGGTAGTCTCCTTCACAGTTGAGTTATTAGATGAAGGACATAAGAATAGACCAATAATTGTCCCATAGAACAGGGAAACCACAGACAAGTGGGAACCACAGGTGGAGAAGAGCTTATGGATGCCTTGGGTAGATGGACCCTTGAGAATAGAAAACACAATCCTTGCATAGGACATAACAATGAGTAGGAATGGTACAATACCAATGAGACCACTCATGATTAATATCATTAACTCATTAATGTAAGTGTCTGTGCAAGCCAGCTTCAGGAGAGCTAATATGTCACAGAAAAAGTGGAGAATCACATTGTTCTCACAAAAAGACAATCTAGCCAAGAGCAGTGTATGCATCATGGCATTGACTGTGGCCAGCATCCACAGTGGCAGCAACAGACAAGCACAGAGCTTGGGGCTCATGATGCTGGTGTAATGAAGGGGGAAGCAGATGGCCACATAGCGGTCATAGGCCATGACCATAAGAAGGAAGCTCTCCATGTCTCCAAAAAACATTAAAAAGTATATTTGTGTCAGACAACCTGTATAGGGTATCGATGGGTCCAGGGTTTGCATGTTCTGCAGCAATTTGGGCATTGTGACAGAGGAGAAGCAGAGGTCAGAGAAGGACAAGTTGCTGAGAAACAAGTACATGGGTGTGTGGAGATGGGAGTCCAGTAGAATGAGGATGATGATGATGAGGTTCCCCAGGACAGTGGTGAGGTACATGGCCAGGAACAGGGCATAGAACAGGTGCTGGTGCTCTGGGGGTATGGGCAGGCCCAGGAGGAGGAATTGGGAGATAACAGTTTCGTTGCTGCCAGTCATAATTGCCTCTGAGACTTTTAAAAAAAATAACAATTTCATACATTACACATGTTTGAGTCTGTATGTGATAGATTGATTCTATTCTTCAATCTTATCTTTTTATTTTAGAAAGATTTTTATATTCTTATATATATATATATATATATATATAGATCTTCACTATGGCATGGAATAACCATGATGTCTTCACTTCTTCAGTTGTCCATGGTAGGTGACGACATTCTAACCCAGTACCATATATACTGCTGATACTCCCCTAATCCATCTCCATGTACTAGTGAAAAGAGACATGTTTCTATGACACATATGATGTGTTGCATGTTCTTCAGTAATTAATCTTACTTTCATCAAAGTCACTGTAACCTCTATATCCAAGTATGCTCAGCCATTATAGCCATAAATGTATTTTCTTAATGCTGACTTAGAATGCTCTAATAGTCTAGTATTGTCTTGTATTGCATGGGAATCAAGATTTACTAGACTCAATACAGGTTAGGTGAAGTTTATTTGGGGAGAAGGCACTTACACAAGAAGAAGCTGACCACCACAATTTCCAGCACCAAGGAATCACCCAGGATCCCTCTGTGACCCCACTGGAAGCAAGAGAGAGCCAGCCACCTGTCCTGTCCCCAGACCTAAACACACCCTGTCACATCAGCGCCTGTGACCATGTCCATTCAGTGCTACACATGCTGGCAGGGTGGATATCTCACTACAATTCCCCTTTTAGTCTAAAGAAAAAAGATTTAGGCTTTATACAAAACTATATACAAAGATAGCAAATATCAAGTATGCTCTAGGAGAAGGAAAAGTAAGAAAAACACACTTAAGACCTATCGCCAGTGAAACAGCTAGAGCAAAAGGCATGAACTAGCTATCCAGTCCTGGGGTAAAGGCAAAATTACTATAGAGTTGTCCTAAAATGGAAAGTTTAAGTCTTGTACCTAATATTTCTATCTAGGAAGAGAGAACAAAAATTGTGACAGTCTAATCTTCAACCACATCAAAGACTTGAGAAAGAGGATAACAATACTAGGGTAGGTAGGAAGTGCAGGCGAGCAACTTCCAAAAGGTGCAGCAAAGACAGAAACAGCAGGTTACCTGGACAGTCACCCACACACTCACAAAAGTATAAGGGCAACCAACTTTGTCTAAGGCCTAGAGTATCTTACTGACCAACACAGAAACAGGGAGGTAGAAGGGCTGTCTTACCCTGACTTGGCAAACTTCAGCAGTCTTCTAAGTTTATCTCCTGCAAGCACAGTAGGACAGCATGCCCAAAGTCAGTGGTCGAGATGGGGGCAGCTCTTTGCCCTAGTGGTCATTAGCTGAGGAGAGAATGGACTCGAGAAGGAGTAACATCAATGCCCGACATATTCTCGAGAATAGCTGTGTGCTGTCAGGACCAATTGTGTCTCATGTCAATGGAATACTAATATTAAAACATTTAAATGTCATATTCTGCAGATCTATGAAGTGTTTGAAGTCTTTCCCTATTCTGCAGTTACCTCAGAGCCCCCAAATAACACAGGAGACACTTTATTAATTATAAACTGTTGCCTGGTGACTAGTATTTCTTATTGACTAGCTCTGTCTTAAAATACATAATACATAACTACTAATATATGTATTCCTACATGATCTTATTTACCAAGAATGCCAGACTCATGTGTCCTCTCCTCCTGGGATGACAAGGTGACTCCTCTCTTACTGCACTTCCCAGAATCCTCCTTGTCTCCTTGTCCCAACTATCTTGCTTTCCTATTGGCCAACAGTGTTTTATTCATCAACCAATAAGAGAAGCATATGCACAGAAGACTTCCCCCATCAGTTTAGTCTCTCATAATTTCTTCTGATGTATTCAATGTATTGGCAAATCTCTTTCTTGCCTGCCTGTTTAATCCTGCAAATGTAATTTACCCCATTATGTAGATTTTTTTCTGGTAATTTTCTTAAAGGATTTCTAAACACCTGATCTCCTTAATTTTACATGAGACCAAACAAAAACACATTTACTTTAATGTGTTAGATTACCAATAAAAGTCAGATATATTTGTCTCTCTAACCTACAAAATTCAATACCTCCTTGCTAATTAATCATCTTCTATGGATTCTTCCCTCCCACAGGCATCTGAGTATCAATGCATCCCAAGGGAAAATCAATCCTATCTCTCCTCACCTCTTCTGTGTCCCATGTCTCTTGTTTCTCATGATAAAATAAAATTAATTCAAGATCTAATATGAGTTTTATTGAAATTTTTTCTTACCTTGCACTCTAATCTAGCAAAACATATAATTTCTCTTCTTCATCATCTTCTTACCTAGGCATTTAAACCCATTCAAACATATTCTTAGAAATGAATGCCATCTCAGTATTTATCTCTAGTATACAAATGAACATTGGGAGCCCATTCCACATAGAGGAATGCTCTCTCAACCTAGAAACATGGGGCAGGAAAAGTTTTAAAAAATGAAAAAAAGAAAAGGATGCCATCATTTCCTACCTGAAATATTGAAGTCAGCATTCAATTGCCACTCACGTCCCATGCTTCCTCTGCATGTGGTACTCATCTCACAGCTACCTTAGCCCTGATCACTGATTCACAGCTATTCTTGACAGACTGTAACGTCCATGTAGGAAAGGCTGACTGCCAACATACCACAGCAAGGCCAGGCCTTCCTGGTTGTGACTCCTTATCCATTAAGATTTCCTGGTGGTGCTGTATCCTGAGACAAAGACTCTTTCAAATTTAAGACAGAAATGAACTTTAAATCCAAATAGTTACTATTTTTCAATCTACCCAGGATATAAAGTCACTAAACTTGAAACTTCATGCATGAAAATTAGATACTCTGTGATTAGCTTTACAGAAGCAACTAAGTACACAAGTTAAGTATTAGGGTGGGTAAGATGCAATGTTCTTTTTAGTAAAACTAATGACTCATCACTTTGTTTCAATTCATATGATTCCATTGATAGTGATGTAGGAAATTAAATGATAAACATTTTATGAAGTAGCATTTAACTTTATCCTCTTGACTTCATCTTCAAATATTCATATGTAACTTTATAGTTCATTGTCATAGGAACCTGTGTAGGTCTTGATAGAAATTTTGGTAGAATTCTACTTCTGGAAATTTCTATGAACATGTTTTACACTGTTATTAAATTTTAAATTAGCAATTAACATTAAATCATTGCAAATTAACTTCAAACCTTCATAATGTGATGATCATCATTCGAGCTGTTGTTGGAAGAGACAGAAAAACTACTGTCTCTTGAGAAAGCTCATCTATATTGCCTCAGATTTAAGACTGCAACCTCCACTCTTCCCAGGGATTCTGGTTTGTAGCTACTGGACTTATCAGTTCCCAAGTAGGTGGGCTGTATCTTTAAATCAGTTCCTTGACTTGTTCTGTTTTCTTCTGTCTAATGAACACCAGTCCAAATCAAAGCTGGCAAGAAGTCAAGGAGAAACACGAAGAGATATACGGATAGGACCTGAGCATTTAGCTCATTGGTACTGCAGTTATCTAGCATGCCCAAGGCCCTGAGTTCAACCTCTAACTGAAAAGAAAATGAAGAAAATGAACGACACACACAGAGCAGTGGGACATCTTTCCATGACACTATCTGATTGAGTCCAGATGCTGGGGTCTTCATTCTGCTAATGGTCATGAGTGAAGTTGCATTAACAGTTTAACACTTGAATGTTATTTTTGGTGACAATGAGAAGGGAAATGTAGGTGCAGCCATGTACCTATTTTTTCAGAATTATTCTAATTATTCTATAAATTAGTGGGGCCCATATCTTATGTAGGTGTTGTGGGACATCTTGATCACACTCTTATACTCTTAAGACAGACAATAAAGTTTACCTTGAATCAGAGGGCAGAGCTTGCTGCTAGCTGATCAAAATTAGGCATAGAGATTTTGGATGACAAGGACATACAGAGAGACACAGGAAGTAGTAGGGAGTGGTGAAGAAAGATTATAAGCCCTTTTGTATCAAGGAAGGAAAGAGTGAGATGGTCCCTGGTCACTTCTCAGCTGCTCCACTGATCATTTTTACCCTATATCTGACCCCCAAGTTTTTACTGATAAAGAATAACTGAATAAATGCATCATGTAGGCTTACATGAAGAGATTACAAAGCAGAGGTCACCTTTGAAGCTTGCAGCTTCTGCCAATAGACTTCAAGTCTTCGATTCTTTGCCTGAATAGCAGATAATAATCTCCTGTGGATATGCTTCTACCAGTTAATATACATGCAACTCACCTGTGCTTCTCTGACAACATTGACTCTGTTTATGAAGCTGATATTCAATTTTATAAATGGATACTCAGGTGATGTTGATACTCTGGTCAATGGATTTCAGCAAGGAGCAAGTGCATGCATTGCTTGTTCTGAGCTGTTTTGAATAGGGGATTTGTTCGAAGTTTACTAGTGTTCCAAAGATAAACATGTTTTAAAAGAAAACTTAAAAATTCCAGAATTGTCCCCACCCTCTAAATAGCTGTTATTAGATTAAAATGGAAAAAGAATTACCATGTATGTAATTGTAATAAATTATATTGGTGTAAATAATAAATTTGGTGTAAATAAATAATCAAAATGGTCATAAATGTATCTGTGGAGCAAGGTTTTCTACAGTATGGCAGAATTTTGCAGAGTATGGAAATGGCAAAGAATGTTATCATACCTGAAACCTGCTGGGCAAGCAATCACAAAACTGGAAATGGAAGACCTATATGTTGGAGAACATTAAGGTACCTCCTGGCAGTTTTTCTAAGATGACTGAGGTCTATTAAGGTCCCTGCTTCAGATACTGGTCACCTTTATTCATTATAAGCACAGGAAATAGCAGTAACCGTAGTCAACACTTTCTTACATGGCCCCTTCTAGCCATCTCAGGACCCAAGAGGCTCTGATCCCAGAGGAGACTAGATTCCGCATAACTCATTAAAGATACAGTAATTACCAAGAACCTATCTAGGA